TGTGTTAAAGTTCCCTCTAAGCAGCTCTCCTGGGCTGGATTCTGCGGAGTCCCTCTGGTACGTGTCACTCCGTCGCCATCTTCCCGGAAGTTCCCCATTTATTTTTAATTTTCTTTGTGCCATTAATTATTTGCATTTATTTTCCTTCTTTGCTTTCCCACTTTTGGGAGTTATTCTTCTTTGCAACTGCCATGCTGCTTTGCATATAGTATGATTCAAATTCAGTTTTGTCTTAGGAGCTACAGTTTATAATTGGAAGGGACTTTAGAAATTATAGGAGCTCTGGTGTCGTAATGGTGATGCATTGGGCTATTAACTGCAAGGCCCACAGTTTGAAAGCAGCAGCTGCTCTGTGGGAGAAAGATGGGGCTTTCTACTCCCTTAAACAGTTACAGTCTCAGAACCTCGTAGGCACCGTGCTACCCTGTCCTATAGGGTCTCTGTGAGTCGGCATCGACTCGATGGTAGTGCGTTTGGTTTTGGTTTTAGAAATTAGTCAACGGCTCTCATTTTGTAGAAGCAAAAACGTTTAAAGGACTAAAGACAGTGATGCATTTGACATCCAGACCCCAAGCTGACTCAGAGTTCTAATTTCCACGATAGCTTCTTTTTCTTTGTTCTGCTTTTTTTTGGCTTCTTTTTCCTTTAGAACACGGGTCTGCCTTACTCCAGTGTCATGTTTGCTTACAAAACCAAGAAAAGGCAGGGCTTGGTTGTAATTTCTTCTACGAACGACGTCATTTTTCTAAGCCTTTGTCAAATCTCAACCCAGGGATATGGGTGGAAGTCACACAAGTGTATGGGTGGAAGTCAAACGCTGAGGAAGGCTGGAAGTCACACTCCACAGAGGCACGGCGCCCCCAGGCCTCTCCCGTCCTTCTCTCTTCACTCAGCCGCACCCCCCCCTTGCGGGGTCAACGACCCGCCTCCGCGGCACCACCGGCTCCGCCCCTTTCCGGGGTGATCTGCCCTCCTCCAAGATGGCAGCGGGTGCTGCCGCCCTAGCGGAAGTGAGCTCACGTGCTCCGGAAGTGAAGGCGGGGAGGGCGGGCGGGGCGAGAAGGCGGGTGTTGACCCGCGGTGAGCTGTGGGTGGGGCGGTGGCTGGTCCGCGGCCGTCGGTTGGGGCTCGAGCGAAGGCGGAGGACTTCTCAGCCTCGGGAACCCCGTTGGGGACTCCGGGACAGGGGCGTTCGAGGGAATCGGAGGGCGGCTCTGTGGAGCCCGCGTCCCGCCCTGGACGGCCTCCTCCCCCACCTTCCCGCCGGGCTGGGCTGCGCGAGGGCGGGCCGGGTCGGTGCGGTCTGGGGGCTGTGGCTGGAGCGGACGGGACCCTTGAGGGACCGGCTGGAGGCGAGGAGGAGGGCGCCCGGCGGGCCAGCCCCTCAGCCCTGAGGTCAGGCCGGGGCGGGGGCGCCGCTGCCCGCGGTCCTCGGGCCCTCACCCACCCTACGGAGCCGAGCCCGCGCCCTCCCCAGGCGTTTTGTCCTTTGAGTATGTCACCAAACCCCGGGGCAGGGTGATTCGTGCCTTCTGGCCTTGTCCAGGAAGGAGAGACAGAGATTTAAGGCATAGCTGCCCTCATCTCGGTCCGCCCTCTGAAAAGTTTTTCTCCGCCGCGGACCCTCTGACGGTCCCCGCGCCGGCTCCCCTCGCGCTTCGCCCGGGCGCTCACGTGGAGCCCACACCCGAAGGGGTGGAAGGAGGCCCCCCCGGGAACCTACCGACAGAACTGTTCCCTCCGGCCCAAGAAGGGCCAATGGACCTTGCAGTGAAGATGCAGGGAGGAGAGCCAGTGTCCAGCCTGAAAGTCTCGGAGAGCGAGGGGAAGCTGGAGGCGCTGGCCACCGCGCTGACCCCGAACAAGAGCAGCAGCAACAGCGGCGGCGGCGGCGGCATCAGCAGCAGCAGCAGCAGCAGCAGCCGCAGCCGCGGCGGCGGTGCCAAAAGCTGGCAGTACAGGTATGGCCCCTTCTCCCAGGGGGGCTCCTGCCTGGAGCTGGGGGTGACTGGTGGTGGTCTGCAAGGCCGCTGTGTTGCAGGGTTCAGTTTGTCCCCGGACTTCCAGAAGCAATGGACGTTTCTTTGGTTCTGCCACCTGATCCCTCTTGTTCGGTGGCCTCGAATTGATTCCGACTGTACCTAGGTACATTCAACAGGTTTCGTTTAGTTTTGTTGTTTTTTTTGAGGTGGTTCAGGCAACAGAAATGTATTCCCGATCGCTCTTCACTTCCTGCGAGTTAATCCGCCTCCTGATTGAATTCCATAACCACATCGGTTTTTTGCCTCTTGTGTGTGATTCGTTTGCCAGCCTCTGCCTCTGCTGTGAGGACCAGAACCGTAGGTGCGAAGAGCATATTTGTTGGTGTTGGGGGAAAAATGAAGCAGATAAGGTTCTTGTGTGCGGGGTTTCTGATTTCTGATTTAGAAGCTCACGGTCTTTGAAATCTATTTGGACGCCTAGTGATTCTATAGGACAGGGTAGACGTGCCCCTGTGAGTTTTGAAAAAAAAAAAAACTCTCCTGGAGGAGAAAGCCTCCGTTGCCCCACGGAGCGCTTGGTGGTTTTGAAATGCTGACCTTGCAGTTAACAGCCCAACTCATAAGCTGCTGTGCTGCCTGCTTTCCCGGAGTGCGAAGGGGAGATGTATTGAGTTCGGTGGAACGCCTGGGCAAGGGTGCAGAGAGACTCCAAGCCTGGGCACCTGCAGTGTTTCAGTTGTTAATTCCTATTCATGTGAATGGAAAGAACCCAAAGATAGTCTCTTAGAGGAACTGTGATACAGTTTTGTTTTTATCTTGGGTTTAGATACTTTGCATATGGGGAAATAAGCCCCAGAATCCTAATCATGAGTGAAGTCACCACACCCCTTGGCGTAGTGCAAGTGAAAGGTTGGCTTCAGCTTTGACTAATGGACTGTGTATGTACATGTGCCTAACGCTAGGCTTTTGTAACCTATGCTGTTTATTCTTGTGACACATTTGAAAGGAGTTAAAGCCAGGATTTTGTGAAGGATACACTACTCTGTATTTGTCATGTATAGTATGCAAAGATACGTGTAAAATTTATAAGCTCCAAATTCAAACTCACTGCTATTGAGTCGATTCCGACTCTATTATTAACATACAGAAATTAAATGTAGATTATACCTTTTTATTGGTAAATGACTCAAGGACAAGCAAAGGTTGTGTAGATAGCTGGCTGCACTTTTGAAATCAGCTTGATGCTTTTTTTTTTTGGTGGTTCACCACAAATTAGATAAATTAGTAATTACTTGGCAGGGAATTTTTTGGACAAGATTTAAGGAAGCAAGATAAACTCATATTCTAGCTAATCGGTAGACAAGTGACCTGACATATTTACCTATTTGAACTGAAAAGTGACCCAGCTGTTTGTTTGTTTTTTTAAATCACTGGGGAGAATTGTCATAAAACCATGTATTTTACTCCTGTACTTTCAACAGAGCCGATTGTCCTTTATTTGGGGTGCTGTTTAGTGATTATATAACTCTCAACTCAGAGTCTATTGGAAGCACAAATAAAGAAGAAGGTTATCAGGGGGAAGCCTAACTCAGAAACTACTACAATGTAGGACATCCAAAGAAGATTTGGAAAAGCGAACAGACCCAGCCGTGTTACTAGTCCCTAGTACTGTAACCACTCTTCCTGACTCACAGTCATCCAGGAAAGAGTAAATTATGTCCAACACCCTGTTTAAGAAGGCAGAGAACTCTATGATACAGTGGTGAATGGTTTTAAAGAAAATAGGGTTGTTGTTTTTTTTAATGCTTAAAGGCAAAAACCCTGTGTCTGGAAGTTGTAGGTATGTGGAACTCTTCCTCAGGGATGCAGGTAAAGAAGGCACTGCTGCACTTATATCTTGCCATATATATATATATATATATATATTTATATTTCATTGTGATTTTTCAGTCCAGGCTAATCTTTTTGACCTAGCTCTCAATCTAATTTACCCCCATGTCCTCTATGACATTGATTAAGCAAAACAGTTTTTGCCGGTCCTGTATTATTCCCCTGTCTTCCTTGGCTCCTTCCCCTGTCACACAATCTCTAGACTTCAAAACTAAACAATAACAACAACAGAAACCTCAAATCCTTTCCCCTGGAAAGCTGTTTACACTCACCGACTCCATTTTCGTCCACACAAACCACCCCAGTTGCTGTGGAGTTGATTGTGAGGCCTGGTAGTCATGTGTGTCAGAGAAGAATGGTGCCTTTCAGGGTTTTTAGTGACTAACTTTTTTGTAAGTAACTTGCCAGGCCTTGCGTTGAGGCACCTCTTGGTGGCCTTGAACCTTCAGCCTTTTGTTAGTGCCTGAGTGTGTTAATAACTGTTTTTACCACCCAGGGGTGGCTCGTTCTTTTTTTTTTTAACCCCTGGCAATTGGCTTCTAACCAAGAGCATGAATGATCTCTTTTAAATACAGGAAGTGTTTATGGATTCTTATTTCAGTTGATTTCTATATAGGTTACAACTCACAGCAACTCGATAGGACAGAGTAGAACTGCTCCATTGTATTTCTGAAACTGCAAAATTTTATGGAAGTAGACTTCTTCATGCAAAGTGGTGACTGGTGTACTCCTTTATAAATGTATTTATAATTCTATTGCTTTTTTTCCCCCCTTTGATATTACTTTTTTCTTTTTTTCCTGTTTTTTTCTAACAGTTTTTTCCCCTCAGTTTCTTTCGCTGAGTCTTCTTTTCCTTTAAAGATTGGTGTGATGCTCCACCATCTTCTCTTCTTGTTCTACATGCATTCTCTGTGTTATCTTGTTCTTTTCCATGGCTTTAGGTGTAGAGTTAAGACACTCAAGAATGGAACTGTTGCTGTTAAGTAATTACACTGGGGCATCAAAATAAAACTGGGTTGCCCAAGGGCCTAGGGCCTGCATTAACTGAGACATTCAAATAGAGGATTTAAAGAATGAATGAGCTTCATCCTAAGGGAGTATACTGCAGCCCGGCAGGACAGATAGAAAAAGGTGTGGAAGCGTGATTTCATAAGAAAAAAATTTTGGTGTAGGGATCCAAAGAAATTGTAGGGAGTTAGGTTTTAAGCTAAGTCAAGGCCCAAGGCCTTGAGTACCTGACCAAGGCATTTAGTCTATAATCTATAGGTAGTGGGATCTGTTGGAAATTTCTAACTAGGGAAATGATGTGGACTAAAGTGGCGTTTTAGGAAAATCAACCTGGCTGCATTTAATAACAGTGTTATTTTTCTGTATTTCTACGTAATTGAAACCATGTTACTCATACGATCTATACATAGACTTCATATCCAGGAGCCGTGACAGCATATATTTGGCTGCTAACCAGGCGGTTAGCAGTTTGAAACCACCAGTTGCTCCTCAGAAAAAAGATTAGATTTTCCACTCCTATAAAGAGTTACAGTTGAATAAGCAAATGTGGTGAAGAAAGCTGATGGTGCCCGGCTATCAAAAGATATAGCGTCTGGGGTCTTAAAAGCTTGAGGGTAAACAAGCGGCCATCTAGCTCAGAAGCAACAAAGCCCACATGGAACAACATAACAGCCTGTATGATCACAAGGTGTTGAATGGATCACTGAAGAAAATGGGTGCATAAGCAAATGTGGCTAAGAAAGCTGATGGTGCCCGGCTATCAAAAA